CGATCCCAATACGAAGTTCGCGAACATCAGGGATATCCATCGGGCTCAAATCGAAGCGGGTGAAAAGGAGGTTATCACGGCTGAATCCAGCGACTCTGAATGCCCTAGTGAGGCTGGCAGCTGTATTGTAGTGGGTGTGGTTGAGGATCAATAGTTAATAGTAATGAGGAGGTTGGGTTGTGATCCCATCGTTTTTGTGGTGCCAGAAACAGGGGGGTGCCAGGAAGTGGGTATGTTGACTTATCGGCAATGGAAAGAGCCTCAATCGTCAACATCAATCCTCTTCAGTGGTAAAATCGGCGCCGGCAAGTCTGTCACGATGGCAAACGTTGTGAGTGATCTCAGTCATGACAAAGAAGCTATTGTGCTTTACTTCTTCTGTCGATACGACATTCCAGAGAGCTTGAATCACCGGACAATTCTCGGCAGTCTAGCCAGGCAGTATCTAACCTGCTTTCCTATCGGCAGTGATGTTTTTGCAGATGATTTATTGGTACCTCAACTAGGAGTCGAGGACTTTGTCCACGTCCTGAGACTGGGTTCAATGAAGTACAAACAGAAATACATAATCGTGGATGGCCTCGACGATTGCAGTACAGAGGAACGTCGAATCGTTCTAAGCCAGCTCAGAGAGATCCAGCCATCATCGAAGTGGCACCTGGGAGTTTCAGCCCAACTTTCAGCCGATCAATTCATTAAGACCCGACTTGATCCCATGTGGAATATAATACTTCCCAACGAGAATCCAGACATTGGATTCTTCATCGATTTGGAGATTCAAGCTCGACTCAAAAACGGTCGTTTAGCCGTTGAAGATCCTGGTTTGATCCAAGACATCAAAGCAGCTCTCATCGAAGGGGCAAATGGAATGTAAGTACCGGCTCCTGGAAAGGTAGTACTTGTCCAGGCTTTTGATATTGGTCGATACTCTTACATGTTACTAAGTATGAAACAGGTTTCTCTGGGTGGCTCTCCAACTTGAAGCCATTTGCTGGGAAAACTTAGACTTTGATGTACGAGCAGCAATCAAGTCACTTCCTCGAGATCTAGAGACAACATATGCTCGAATCCTAGAGAGATCGACAATCCGAGATTCTCATAAGTATTATGTCCGAATCCTCAAGTTCCTTGCCACGGCATATGAACCATTGATAACGGCTCAAATACGAGAGATAGCAAGCGTGACTATCGGATTAGAAGTCTAATTCGACCGCGGGATACGGCTAACTGCGCAGGGGCTAATTAGGGGCCCTATTTATAATTATTATAACTAGCCTAACCTACGGTTAGAACCTCCTTTTTATACCTACGCAAAAATTAATATAGTTTAATTAATCTCTTTATTAACTTACGGTTCGAACTAACTACTTTATAATAAGAATACTAATACTAATTAGTAATTAAATTCTACTATTATAAATTAATAAAGTATTTTATTACGTAAAAAAGACGACTTTTTAATACTATACGGGATAGGAGATTTATATTAATTAATTTTATAAAAATAAATAAAAAAAGAGGCGATTTTTAAATACTATACGGAATTAAATAATCGTAGCTTTTTATTACTTATAAAAAGTCGATATTTATTATATTAAATTACGTTAATTAATAGAACTACTTAAGTAACTAGTTTTTTACTATTATTTTAAATAGCTTTTTTATTAAATAACTTTTTTATAGCCGGCCCGTAATTAGAAATTAACTAATTAAATTAATAAAAAGAAATATTTATGTAATAACTACTTACTTAATTAATTAGTATAATAAACGAGCTTAATAATATAGTATAAAAAAGTACTACGTAATTAAAAAAAAAGATTTTTAAATATAAATATTCTTACTTAGTAGTAAAAGTAACTTTATAAAAGTTATAAAATTAAGAGATTTATAATATATAAAAAGGTTTATTATTATAAGGATTTTATAAATATAATTATAAGCTTATAATCTAAGTAACCTCTTTATAACTCTTTTAACTACTCCCCGAGTATTATTTAAGAATATAATATAAGGGGCGGTTTTATAAGGGAAGAGGGGATTTAGAGGTCTTAATAATATTAAATTAAGAGTATTATAAATCTTAGAGATTAATTTAAGAAAAAAGCGGCTATTTTAAAATAGTTTTATAACCTCCTATTAAAGTTATAATTAGCTTAAAAAAAAGTTAAAAAAACGAGGATTTAAAGAAAAAAGAAAAGAATTCTCTAGAGGGTTACTAAGGAACTTTTTTTTTATATTAGCTCTTAATATAAGATTATTAGTTTTAAGAAATTAACTAAGTAATAAAAGGAATTATTAATAAGTAATAATTATTTAATAGTAATTAAGTTATAAAAAAAACTACTTAAGAAATATAAAATAGGGTATTAAGAAGTAATTAAAAAAAAGATTTTTAAAGTAATTAACCTTATTTAGTATAAATAATAAAGTAATAGGTATTTTTAATAAGTTTTTTAAATCCTTAATTTCCTAAGAAGGAGGGCTTAACTTTACTAACTATATTTAACTACTTATTTAGTTTTTAATAGCTTATTAAGCTCTTTTATAAGCTACCCAGCGTTTATTTTTAATTATTTTTTTAGAATACTACCCTAAAAAAGGTAGGTTAAAGAAGGAGGTAATTTAAAAATTATATAGAGTATAAGGCTTAGGAGGTTAGAAGTTAGAACTATATAAAACAGTAGAAATTAGTAACTAGTAAAAATCCTAAGACTAATTATTATATTTTTTTATAGTAATATAAATATTTACTACTACTATTAAAAAAGGAACTACTAAAACTTACCTTTTTATATTAAATAAAAAAGAGGATTTTAATAAGTATAATAGCTAGCAATTTAAAAAGGTAGTAGTAATTACTAAAAATAATAAAAATAAGAGTAATAGTAAGATAATAAAAAGAAGTAGGAATTACTTAGACTTTAATAAATTCGTTAAGTAGTAAAAGTATAGATTTATTATAGCTAGCGCGCGGATTAAATATATCTTTATTAAAATTAAATATATTAGTAACTATTAATATAAGTATAAGTTAGAGTATAACCCTTAGTAAGTTAGGGTAAGAGAAAAGAGAAAGAAACCCGATTTTAAATAGAATCCTAATCTTTTATAAATAAGTAAATATTAACTTAGATTATTAAGAAACGTAAATATATAGGATTATAAATTAGTTTAATAATAAGTAAATTAACGTAGTATTAATCTATTTAATTAAAGTTTATAAGAAAAAGGGGCTATAGGGGTAACCCCTATTTTATAAAATTATAAACGACTTTAGTTACTAATTAAATAAATAGTTTATAAGTATAAGCTTAAGAATTATAAAAATAATTAACGGATTTTTTTATAAGCGAGGGGTATTACTAACGTAATTATAATTATAAAAACTATATAAAATTTTAATAGCAACGATTATAAAAAAGGAATTTATATTATAAAACTAAATATAAGTTAATAAAGCGTATAATTACTTTAATAAATTTAAAAAAAGGGTAAACGACTTAGATTTCTTTTTTATAATTATTAATAATAATCTATTATTATAAAAAGATATATAGAAGTAAAATATAGTACTAGGTATATAATAATTAATAATTTTGCTAATTTTAATTTATAGCTCGTTACCGTTACTAATACGAAATTCAGTATTAATTAGTTAATAAGAAAAGAAATAGATAACCCGAAGTTATTAATAATATATAATAATGTAAAAATCGTATATAAATATTAAAAATATAGTAATAAATATAAAGTAATTTATAAATTTTAAAAAGATTTTTTTAAAAAAGAAATTATACTTTAGGGGGAAGTATAAGGTTTTATAAGAAACCCTAACGATATTTTATAATTATTACGAAAAAGTTAAAATTAGGGAATACTAATATTATTTAGTAATTAATATTATATTTATAAATAAAGCTTTTAATTATTATTATAAAGCGGTATATAATTTTAATTAAAATAACTTTCTTAGTATTATTAACGTAATCTAAAGCTACTTCGAGACCTATAATAAGAATTTAGAGCTCTTATCTAAGCTATAAGCGATTTTTTTTATATTTATAGTTAGGATAATAGAGGGTAAATTATAAATAGAAATTTTCAAAGAGCTTATTAATTAAATCGATAAGCTAGTAAAAGCTTAGCTAAATAAGGGGATTAATAAGTAAAAAGTTAGATATTTTTATACTATAGTTTAGTATATATTAAAAATAAAAATAACTCTATATTAAATACCTAAAAATTACGAAATACTCTACTTAAGGCTAAGATTTAGTTTTAATATTAAAATAAGAATACTATACTAAACTTATTTCTAAGTATATAATAGCCCTTATTAATAATATTAAGTTAATTAGATATATAATAAAAAAAGAAAAGAGATTAAGTATAGTAATTATTAATAAAGAGGCCTAGATTTATTAAATAAGTAGAGATTTAATTTATAAATAAGGTAATAAAAGAAGTAATACTTTATTTATAAAAAGGATAGATATTAATTAAGTAATTATTTTAAAAAAGAATATATTAAATTATATAAATAATATAAAAAGTCGAGGGTAGTAAATAGTAAAACTAGCTTTTATTAGTTTAGCTAATTCTTTATTATATATAAAGGTAAATCTGGGGATATAGAACTTAATAATAATAGTTATAGTAGTAGCCTAGAGTATTTACCCCCTATAAGAAATTCAGAAAATAAAAAAGATCTTACTCCCTATATTAACGAATTAGATTATAATAAAATTAACGATATTAACTACTCCTTTTTTACTCCGTTAGCTTCTAGAGGATATATAAAGCTAAATAAATAAAAAATAATAAAAGCTCTTAATAAGTAAGCTTTTATTTATAAATAATAAGGAAAGGTTTTTTAAATAACGGATCTAGAGGTAAATAAAAGGACGAATTTAATAATATAAAATTCTATTTTCTTAACGCTTAAGGAGAAGATATTACCTTTATTAATATTAAAAAAAAAAAAATAGTACTAAGAAATTCTAGGGGTAATTAGAGGGATCTTTTTTATATTATTTAAATTATTTAAGTACTAAGCTTATATAAGTATTTTATATAAGCAAAAAGTACGGCTTTGATAATTTCTATAGGATTATTTTAAATATTAGAGTATTATAGTAGTTAATAAAAAAAAAGGGGTAATTTTAAGTACTATAAAAAATCGTATTAGTAATACTTAATATATTAATAGCGGGTATTATAAAAATTAGTTTCGGTTTAAGTAAGGAAATCGTTACCCTAGGTATAATAAAAATAGAAACGTATTTTAGAACGATAATCTTTTATATTTTATTTATTAATACCCTATTTTTTTTATACTTAAAAAATATAAATTAACTAGGTATTATATTTAATAATATAAAGAATAGAATCTTTAGTAATAAGTATTTTAAAATAGTTAAATAATAATAGGGGTATATATTTATAAGGCTTATTAATAATACGAAGTTAATTAATTATTTAATAGAAAATGAGCTTAGATAATTATACTAGAGATTTAGGTATTCGTTAGTTACGAGGTTATATAGCTTTTTAAAATAATTAAATAATAATAATATCGAAATAGGGGCGCTAGAGTAGTTAATAAAAGTGTGTTATTAATATTAAATAAATACGCAGAGCCTACGTAAATTTAAATTTAAATTATATAATAAGCTTAATTTTAATTAGGAAATCGTTATTAATGTTTTTTATTTGAATAGTTAACTAGTTTTATATATAATTAACGAGGTTATATTATTTTAAATAGGGTAATTTTTTTAGGATTTATAAGTAAAAATAGTATAAGTAGCCCTATAAAAAAGCTAGATTAATATATATTAAGGACCGCTAGATAGTATTAAAATTAATACTAATATTAGTTTTAAGTTAATAAAATTTAGGGAAAATACGATAGTTTATAGTATATAGCTAAAAGTCGTGCTTATAGAAGCGTACTATAGTATTAGAAAAGTAAAAAGGGTATATTAATAGCTAAAAAGGGCGTTTAGAATTATTAAAAAGGAAAATCCCGATTTTATTAATAACGAATGTTTCTAAATAGTACTTAAGTACTATAATAATATTATAGGGCTTAATAAGCTTATACTAATACTATTAGTATTTAGAGTATATTTAAGAACGACCTTAGTTTTATTATTATTACTAAATATAAGCTAACGAGCCTAAGTAATTAAAAAAGTAATATAAGTACTGCGCGAGGTAAGTATAAAAAGGTAGGTTAATAAGGTAATTACTACGCGCAATAGGCCTAATATAGGGGCTAATTTAAATATATCCCTAAATTTAAATATATAAGTATAGTACGAAATTACTTAGTAATAGGCTAGGCTATATAAATTAATTTTTATTAACGAGCGGTTTTATATAGTTATAAAAGATTATAACTAGCTACTTAAGGTATTAATTATAATAATTAAACTATATTATATAGATCTTATTAAAGTAATTTTTAACTTATAAAAAAAAAAAAGAACTAGGGGAAATAGTATAACTTATAATAGAAGTATAAAAAATTATTTTTAACGAAATTATTATAATAATATTAATAAATAATAAGGGAGAGGAAATTACTAAAAGGGTATTAATATTACTAGCGAAACGTTATAAAAGATTATAACAGTAAGCCCTAATATAGTAATTTATTATTAATAATAAGGTATTTAATACCTTTTATATAATAAAAAAGAAAGCTAATTTTAAGTTAGTAATTAAACTATATAAAGAAGGTATTATTATAACTACTAAAAAGCTATATAAGGGATTAGATTTTATTAAAATAAATACTTTGCGCGATCGAGGGGTTTATTAATTTATTCTTTATAACCCTAAGAAATATAAAGGTCTTTATATATTTAAATTGCGAATAGTACGTGAAATTAAGGGAAAAGGAATACCTTAACTATATAAGAAATTTAGGTATATAATTTAGGGGTATAGCGATATTAAAAAGGTAACGCTATTTATATAATTACTTATAATATAGCACTATAACTAGCGATTAATAATAGTACTAATAATATTATTATAAAAAAAGGGATATAAGATTTAGAGCTATAATATTACTTAGGCCTATACTTAATTAGTTATAGGGTTTCTAAAGAAAATCCTAGTTTATTTACTAAAGGAAATAGTTAGTAAGTACTTAGAAAGTACGATTATCGAAGTACTTAAACTATTATATAGGCTCGTAAAATTGGGTACTTATTAATAAGCTATATATTATAATTTTTATATTAATTAATTATTAATAGTTATATTTACGTACGACCCGTACTTATTAGTTTTTAAGTATAAAAGTAAATAATTTAGAATTATTAAAATATAAATTAACGATATATTAGGCTTATTTAATATTAATTTTATAAAAAAAGAGAATAAGGAGTTTTAAAAAGCGGGCTTTATAATAAAGCTAAAAGAGGTTTTTATAATAAATAACTTATTAACGTTTAATAGTAATATTTTTATAATTAAAGGGGAAACCGTTATTTTTTAATAAAAGGGGTAAGGTAAGAAAATTACCTTTGTTAATCTAAATATAATTAATATTAAAAATCAATATAAAGCTAAGCTTATATAAGGGGTATATATTACGAATATATACTAACCTAAGGCAACTTTTAATTATACTAAAGTAGTATAGGCTATAAATCTAAATAAATAAAATATTAAAATATTTAATAAGTAGCTTAAGTAGTAATAAACGAATCTTAATCGAGGCCTCGTTTATTATTTAATTAACCTCGCTATTAGTAAGCTTTATATCTTTATTAATAGGTTATTTATAAATAATAACGATTTTATTTTATAATTAAAATATATTATTATTTTAGTTAATAAGAGTATAGGCGAGAGCGAATTTTTTATATATAGTAATATAATTTATTATTTATTAATTAAAAATAAGTAAGTAATAAGAAGTATACTAATATTAAAAGTTTATAATATAGTTAATAGTATTAACTTTGTTTATATAATTTTAATAACGCTAAGGAGGATTATTAATTAACTTAACTTTTTATTAATTTTAATAGTTATTTATACTAATTTTTATTTATTATACGAATGCTTTATTAAATTAGGAATAATAAAAGAAAAGAGGCTTATAATTAATATTATAGCCCTTAAGTAATTATATAAAAAGCGTAAGATCTTTAAGATTTATTAGATTAATAATAATAATAACTTCGCTAACATTTTTATAAAAGTAGTACTTAATAAGGGGTTAGAATAATTTATAAATAATAAAAAAGTTAATATATAAATAAAAAGATAAGTTATATAAAAAGAATAGAAAAAAAGGAGAAAAAGAAATAACTTAGTAAATAGGCCTAAGGTTAAATTATACTTTTAATTATAGTAAATAAATTAATAAAAAAAAGAGAAAGTTAGTATTAAATTAGAAATTTAATTTAATTACGGGATATAACTAACTACGTAGGGGCTAATTAGGGGCCCTATTTATAATTATTATAACTAGCCTAACCTATAGTTAGAACCTCTTTTTTATACCTATATAAAAGTTAATATAGTTCAATTAATCTCTTTATTAACCTACGGTTCGAACTAACTACCCTGTAATAGGGATACTAACAGTGACTATAGGCCAAGACGAGTATGACCCAAAAAGGTAAATAAACAACATTACTAATCTTCTTACTTTCTGCGGCAGCTTAGTTATAACGGACGAAGAGGAGGGTACCGTAAGATTTGTACACCACAGTGCTAAGAGCTTTTGCCAAGGTTCTCTGGGTAACATCTCGATCTGGCAGTTCACCGCAGAGGAAGCTCACAATGAGCTTGGTGGCACCATCCTGACATATTTGAACTACTCTATCTTTGAGACCAAGCTTTCAAGAAATGTGGTTCCGGAAATCGACGCTGGGAAAATCTCGACTGGGATCATACGTCAAACATTCCACGATTCACGGAGTTCTCTAAGATTAGCGGGGAGTTTCTTCAAGCCAAAGGGACGCAGCCGCCAGATTGGGCACATTCTTGCGCAAAATTCCAAGGACACGGGGATTGTTGTTCCCGACCATCCTTTCCTCTCATATGCAAAGGAATTTTGGTTACTACACACACGGTATACGATCGAGCCATCTACCCAACGCTTGTGGTTCAATCTGATCGGTGAGGTTGACCTTGCGAATCTCCGAACCCATCCCTTGGTAGCGGCGGCCTGGGCCGATGTGGAAGTACCCCAAGAACCTGCTGCTTTTGCAGGCTTATTCTGGTCTGTGCAAAACTCCCATATCCCAATTTTTGATCATGCTATCAACTTGGGTAAACATGCTTCTTCATTCACCTCACAATTCCGCCGCATAGTGGCACTTCGTCGGATGTTCAAATCACTTTCGTCACTTTCGTCACTATCACCTTCCTCGGGCGATAACCCTCCAGTATCACCACGTCCGATTATAGAGGCACACATGATCTCACACCTACTCCCGATCTCAGTATTATTAAACACCTTCGAGTTTACCAAATGGATGGAATCCCATATTGAGCCAGCGAAGTGCAGCAAGACACCCACGAGGAATACCAGCCCCCTAAGCGCTCACGATAATTCTACAATCGAGCTCTCTCCAGGGTCTATCGAATCCCCCGGGCCATATGAATTGGATGCGACAATGACACAAATTGCTGTCCTGGAAGGCTTCCCTGTTACCCTAGATGTACCCCGAACATTCAAGCTCCTCCCCAAATATCCCATACACCAATTCGTGGACTTTCCATCATCGATATCTCAGGCATTCCTTTACACACTGCAAAGCAACGTCCCACACGAGATGTTTCTGAGAAAGTTTACTTCGCACCTCAATAGCGGACTGGATCTCAAGTCACTTAGCAACGTAAGAGTCTACTCTATCCTCAAAGTATTGGTAGAATCTCGTGAGCTTAATTCACTTCTTGTTTTCCAACTCCGAGAAAGATTGGTGAATTCGATTCGCATCGAAGATGGAATGCGGAACCAGATTTTCCGTCGTGCCTGTTTCATGGGGAACTTCGACATCGCTGTTCAGACGCGACCTCGTCCAGAAGCGGAGGGCTTGAGACCACCATACAGGGGTGATGAGATTAACCTTGTACTACAAAATGTATCGGAAGAAAGATTCAAGCTTGCAACATGGCTAGTCAATGATGGTGCATCATATCCGTCAAACGACATCGATGCCTCTGGATGCTATTGCTCCACCCTTCGTCGGGCCATGCTGCTGAGGAACTGGCACCTAGCGTCAGCATTGCTTGAGCATGGGGCTTCGACAATGGGACTGGCTAGATTTTGCTCTCGAATAGAGTTGACCCATTTTTGCGTCTTACACAACGACCTGGACGGTATCGTATTCCTGGCTAAGGCAACGAAAGGCAAAGCTTTAAATACACCCTCTGCCGGGTCCGTGTTCAACAGCTTCACTCCAATACAGCTCGCGGCTTTCAGGGACTCTGACTGGTGTCGACTCCATTCTATTCGAGCCCTAATGGCTGAAGGTGCTAGGCTTTGGTCCATGACGACCGATAGCTATATGCTCTCAATCGAAGAGAAACTGGAAAGGCTTGTTATCAGCACTGCCGAAAACTCCGCACGAGACGCTGGGGAATACCTACATTCCCTGAGAGGAATATACGCTCAAAATAAGAAAGTCCTAAAGGTCAGCAGTAAGATTGTTTGTCTTGTTGCAATACTCGTTGGGAAGTTTGTCTCAAAATACCGTCAGGCTTTGTCTCAGCCGCAGCCAAGCAACGAGGAAGTTCTAGGGTACTTCAGCGATTCTGTGGTTTTGATGAGTATCTTCCTCAAATCGCCCAGAGCCCCAGGTTTTCACAAGACAGACTTGATTCTGTCTCTGCGAGAAATTACAGGGGCCTTATCGCGCCTTGACACCGTCTCAGACCCCTCTTCCCTTGAGGGGCCTTTCAAGTCGACACCGATCACGTGGAAGGTACAGATGAGACTTCTACAAGTTGTCGATCTCATCTTGAAAAGCACAATCTCGGCTCAGTCTGAGCAGCGGCCAAGGAAATCCCATGTGATACCCGAAATTCTGTGTGCAGACCTATTACATACATCCATAGCCTCTAAACCCACTGCCTTGGATGGAGATTCTTTGGCGTCGACAAGCCAATTCGCACTACAGTTCAAGTACTTTCGAAATATTCTAGAAGACGGCTTCAACGCAAATGGTCTCACATGGCTCTTGCAGTGCTTACTCATCCTTGGTAAAAAGTTCTCAGGAGAATCTCTGATTCATTTCGCGACCGATCTCGACCTCACCTATATGAGTAACTCATGGCTTGACAGAGGTGAAAGTCCGCATCCAATTCCAGTCAGTATACGGGAAAGGCTTCGGTGTTTTGGCTGCAGAAAGGACACTTTGGATATGCTAGACGAGGTGTTGATCTCTTTCAAGCTGATGTATCGAGCTCCATTGAATGGGCCCCTCATTCGCTAAAGACAAGGGGCCAACTGTTCCTATCGTTTGGAAGAATCAACATAAGTTCTGATGTGAAGGCTGTTTGGGAATCAATGACGAAGGGATATTTAAGAAGTCTGGCTTCGTTGATTATGATACAATGAGAATCTTGTGATGGAAAGAAAGACGCTGTCCGCGTATGTGGGTATTGATAGAGACGGCTGCTGGCTCAAGGAGTTTGCTTGAGTTGATGGAATTTATCTCGGCTGAACCGGCTCTGAGTTTTACTTGAATTGTTGAGTCAATCACGTGCAACAAGGCGGAAGTTTTCTCATCAATGCGTTTTCTTACTAAATATCCTTGCTGTCTCCCGATGAAGAAATGCCTTGGAGAAAACAAGTAACACCCATATCATTTTAGCAATGACAAAGACTGTGTGAGCTACCCTGAAGTGTCCCTTGGCGTATTCCATTCTCTCTCCTATCAGAATCATTGATCATGTAGACTTGATCGCATATGCCGCGTTCTTGATCTGCCGCCCCTGCCTCGAAAAGCATGGCGAGGCCGCCAGATATGAAGTACCTCTTTCTCTATATTGTAAGGCTATAAAGCATAATTGATCCTCATTATCTAGCCGCAGAGATCCTTGGCCCAGTGGTTCTCATCAGCGAATTTCTTGGCAATAGTCTCGATATTTTCTTTGGGGTTACGAGTACTCTGGTGATTAAAGAGAGCTCGCGCTGTGTACCACCTTTGATTGGATTCACAGAGCGCCAATAAGACTGTGCGAAGGCGAGAAAATATCAAATATTCACACGCCCACTGGAAAGAATGCATTAATGTGGTCATCTCATGTAAATGGGACAGCACCACTATCTCAGTCAATCGCTCTACGTCCAAGTGATGATAGGATATGTACATAAACAATCCATCACTAAATTAAATAATTTGATAATCAATGCACGAAATCTTTCTTAGACTTTTTGCTCAGGTTGGGGGATGCTCATTCCCGCTGTGGCCTCGTAGCCTTTGCTTGCGATAGCAGTCTGGGCCTCACGAAACTCTGCCTCCTTTTCTTGTTGAATCAGGTCGCAGCACCCACAGCAGCAAGCGGTAGCAAGATCGACGAGACAGCTGCCCTGGAGATTGTACTTCTCACGAAGGTTGGCGCGCTGAAGGGCGAGAGGGATCCAATGGAGGCCAAAGCAAGTGGAACCCCAGAACATGAGACACTATGAAGCAAGTCAGCTTAGCACAAACGTCGAAGTACCTTGCTGTATTGACGTACAGAAGTATTGATAGGCTCATAGCCCGTGAGGCTGCCGTTCTTACGAAGACGGTGATGGGTTTTACCAAAGGTCACGCAAGGAACACAGCAAGTGATGGCGCAAAGGTCGATAGGGTTGAAGCAGCCGAAAAAGCCGTTTTGCCAAGGTCGAGAAGTCTCGGGAGACTTCGAGTTGACGTGCTCGCTAGGGCGAGCGAGAACGTCATTGAAACGATCCTTCCATTCATTGAGGTCGTTGTGGTCGATGGGGCCGTTGTTGTGGGTGTTAGCTTGAGCTGGGGTGGCCATTGTGGAGTTATGTGATAAGAGATTCAACGTGAAGGAGTGTAGAGAAAAAGGTTATGAGGTGGGGAATGGAAAACAGTGGGAAGGAGTGTGAGTTGCCAAGAAGAAATAGACAAGTCATTCTGGAATTGTCTTTCTCTTATAATCTCAAAGTGCCGTGCTGGTGGTTCAACGGCTGATCGCCATTTGAGACAAGCCAAAAGTGACCCGACATCCCTGATTTTAGCGTCATCAAGGGGATGTGATGGAACTCCTGATAAGCACAGAATCAGGGACCGGATTGCCGTTTTCAAATGAGGTTCGAACGCCCTGTGGCGCTGCGGCGGCAAGCTTGAAGCTTTTGATTTGGCAGCTGTATCAAAAGGCTAAAGCGCCACCAATTTGCCGTTGTATCGCAGGACCGGATGGTGGAAGCCTACGCGAGCTTACGCACTGTCTAGCACTAGCGGCAAGCCTCTGGTGCTCGCAATAGCGGAAAAGTTGCGCGTTTACGAGATGATCGTCGCCCTCTCAAGTTCCCCTGCATCATGATCCTCGGATCTTAGGAGTATCATTTCACACCACATAGATGTTATATCTTTGTGTTGGTGTCGCTCCTGGCAAAGATCCAAAACTCGGCCCGAAACTGTCCTTGATGCTTGATAGTAAACATGAGAGTTATCTCTGACTTCCCCGACCTAGGCAAGCCCTAGATAACGAAGTGCTTCTACTTTTATATGGGCTTCTTAGGTTGCTCCGGCTTAGAAGCCTTCCCGGCGTTTACTAGCCTCTCCTTTTGCCTGATATAGTGATTATTTCCCTGGTGCTTAGTCTGTGAAACATATATTCTTTAATAGCAATTGATAGTATTTGCGTACCTCTCTTGTACCTTTACTATCTCTCGGTGTTACAATCACTATGAGCTTCCGAAGTCGAGGTGTTTCGTGTGCTTTTCGGAAGACCTGATAGTTCGTAGACCCTTTGTAAGTACTTTCGGGTGGCGTCCGAGCCTTGCGAATCATCATCTTGAAAGGCCTTTTCTATCGATTTGAATTTTTGGCCGCTAGGGGCTCGTTACGGCGGATTGAAGAAAGACTGGAAATGCTTATTCTTCAATCGCGGACTACCTAGATACCAGGCGATAAGTTGCGGAATAATGCAAACCCTGAAAGTGGAATTTGAGAAGCCTTCTCTAGTGTTCAAGGTCAGCCACAAAATTGTATGCCTCGTGGCAACAGCCACTCGCAATTTTGTATAATCAAGCCCCGGAGTTCCAGGTGACAAGTCTAGTGCTGGCTGTGCGGGAAATGACGGGGGCTCTGTCGCGTCTCAAAACAGCCGACTTTGATGACTTGCAAGAGTCCTCTAAAATCCAAAGACAAATCGGCTTACTCCTTCTGGCGTGGAAGTTACAAATGAGAGTCTTACAAGTGACGAATTTGTTGCTGGAAAACATCATCGCGATGCCTTCTGAACACAGATCGAGGTAAACCAGTATAATGCCCGGCTTCAAGATTCTGTGTAACGATCTCTTACACGTATCAATAGCCAATAAGCCAACTGCTTTGCCATAGTACAAAGATCCTATGGGATCGATGTTTGTGCTACAATTTGGGCATTTAAAACATCCTGGAAGAGGTTTTCTACGAGATGGACCTACCGTTTCCCCTGCAATGCTCTCTTATCCTTGGGGCCAAGTTCCCGCCAAAAGCTTTGGTATACTTTGCTTCTAGCCTCGACATGGCTTGTATGCCTGACTCTTGGGATATGAGCGGTCTGAGTTCTCCCCAGAATTCCGTCACCATACGAAAAGAGCTCCGATCTACGGGCTGTGACGATGATTTTCTGGATACGCTTGAGAAGATGGTGCATGATATGCTCTTCAAATAATAATCCACGCATGCCCTCCACACTGAAATATAATATCATTGCAGAATAAAGTAGGAGAGAGACAGTAGATTCCGATGGAGGTTTGCCTTTGATCGTCCCCATTCAAATTATACGTACAAGCATCAGACAGCTCGCGACCCGCCCGTTCGTATACGCCAGTGCGCCAGTGTCGTCTATTCTAACACCAATGGCTTACCTGTAGTAGGATCCTACATAGAATTCGGAGCTCCGTAACTGAGGAGCAAATCATGATTCATTAGGCTGTTTTGAAAGAGGTAGCGATTATGAGCGTGAATCACAAATACTCAAAGGGGGCAAACGAGGTTTCTTGACGATACATGTCCTTTGTTGTCCGAGCTATCTTTGAATATCTTAAGACAGACATATGAAGATAAATGAGACTCTCAAGATATCAGCAATGGTAAAGACTGTATGGCCTCCCTTAATCCATTCCTATCCCTTCCATTCTTATCCCCTAAGTCCTGAGTTAATCAGAACATCAATAACCTCGACTAATTCCTTCTGCCTCGCCAGGCATGGCTAGTGCAGAAACAAGAGTGCCCTTCCAAAACCAGGAGCTCACAGGATACTCGATCATCGGAATTTAACCGCAAAGGTCCTTGGCC